GCCATCTGACCAATGGTCACTCTAGACAGTGTACAACATTGAACATTAGAAAAATAGAATTCAAACCAATACCAAATTAAAATTGAATTAAAATCAAGCCGGTGGCTGTAGACGTTAAACACACAATATAATCTCAACAGAGTTTTAAGATGGAATGGCTGCTCAAATAGAAAGTTTTTAAAAGATTTATTGAAAAGCCTCACAGGAAGGGACCAGGTGGATTTTGGGTAGCAATTCATTCCACAGCATTGGACCAACTGCTTAGAAAGCCCAGTGCCTAGTTTTCTCCTTCTTGGTCTCTCTAAGGGTTAGCATCCTCAGCCGTCCTGCCTGAGATTTGTGGGTAGGCTGCGCAGCCCCTCTTGGAAGGAGGTGATCTCTCATGTACCGAGGCCCCAAACTGTTTAGGGCTTTGTAGGTCAAAACCAGCACCTTGAACCCAATGCAGAAACAGACTGGTAACCAGTGCAAGGTGGCCAGTATTGGATCTGCTGGAATTTTCAGAACAGTTTCAAGGGCAGCCCCAAGTAGAGCACATTACAGTAATCAATCCTTGAGACTACAGAAACATGGACCAAGATAGTAGGGGACCTGCTGTCAAGGTAGTGATGCAGCTGTGCAACCTGCCTAAAATGGAAACAGACTGATTGAACCACAGACGCTATCTGAGCATCCATCAACAGCATCGGGTCCCGAAGGATGCCCAAGCTTTGAATCTCATCCTTATTTTTACCAGTATGTAACAATGAATTGTCCTTCACCAAGTTTATTTTATTTAGCTGTTCAACTATTTATATTCAGTCTTGTGTTGAAAGATTGCAGGGCGAGTGACAAACTAAAAAAGGTCAGTTTAGACCTGGAATCAAAATAAGGCTAACATCAGCAGCAGCAGGCTTTCCTGGGGTGGGATTTCTATAATGAGTATGCCATAGCAGAGGAAACCTGAAGGCACCTCCACATACAGTGGTGCCTCGCTTAACGGGCGCTCCGTTTAGCAACGAAACCGCATAGCGATTAACTTTTTGTGATCGCAAAAGCGATCACATTACGATGTTTCCTATGGGGTTTTATCACTTTGCGATGATCAGTTCCCTGTTTCGCTTACCGATCATCGCAAAGCGATGATTTTTAAACAGCTGATCAGTGGTTCCAAAATGGCCACCGGGTAAAAAAAAATGGCTGCCCGCTGTGTTTTCGTGCTGATTCCTCACTTTAGAGGCAGCGAAAATGGCCGCTGTATGGAGGATCTTTGCTTTAAGGTCAGTTTTTTGCCCATAGGAACGCATTAAACAGATTTTAATGCGTTTCTATGGGCTTTTAAAAATTGCACAGCGACGAAATCGCTTAGCAGCAATTTTTGCTGCACGGATTAACGTCGCTATGTGAGGCACCACTGTAATTCATTTCTCCCACAGGTGTGGGAATATAGAGTGGGACACAGGAAAGCCTTAAAAGGGGGCTTTCAGATGGATGGTCTTTAGCATTACCAGTTAAAAGACTTCAGCCATAACCTCATAAAACAAGATGAGGATCTTTAGGAATCCTGACATAACAACTGCTACTGTTTTCACTAAGCCATGATGCTCCATGGTTTTTTAAATGTGCTTTTTTAAATGCAGGCACAGTCAGGTCTTGGAGTTGTTTCTCAACCAAGAAGTCAGAGATGGACTCTATGCTGTATTTTTCTAGTTTGCCAGGAAAGAAACCAGTCAGAGAGCTGACTTTGCCCGTGTTTTGAGAGTATTGTAGACAAACCATGAAGCAACAAGCTATGGTTTGTTTAGCGCTCTTTCTGCAACAGGGCAGTAACTAGAAAGTCAGAGTTCCTACCAATTGCTGGCTTGCCCTGTGTGAGTATGGCCACTGCCCTTTTTTGAAATATGACCAACAACCTTCTATTTAACACTTGCCAGATTTATCCCAGGAGTTGTCTGCTGTATTTAACTTAATCTGCTAAACTTGATCCGTGGTATCTACTAGTTGTTTGGTTCCCTGTTTAGTGTCACAGCCCCTTAAAATGCAGCAATTTGTGTCAGTGGGGCATAGGCTTCATAGCACTAGCCAGTTTAGGAGGATATAGAGTCAGATGAATAAATGGTTTTTTCTGCATGTATAGGAAGGTGAAGCAAGTGAAAAATGACTGTTGCAAAAACAGCAGGTCCCATGACATCTTTAAGACTTAACAAGTGCTATTTGGCATAAGCTTTAGTGGATTGTAGCCTCCCTCTTCAGACGTAGTGATGTGGTGGCGCTGCGGGTTAAACTGTAGAAGCCTCTGTGCTGCAAGGTCAGAAGACCAGCAGTCGTAAGATCGAATCCACGCGACGGAGTGAGCTCCTGTCACTTGTCCCAGCTCCTGCCAACCTAGCAGTTTGAAAGCATGCAAATGCGAGTAGATAAATAGGTACCAGCACAGTGGGAAGGTAACGGTGTTCCGTGTCTTGTCGCGCTGGCCACATGACCACGGAAACTGTCTTCGGACAAACGCTAGCTCTATGGCTTGGAGACGGGGATGAGCACCCCCCCCTAAGGTTGGACACAACTGGACTAAACGTCAAGGGAAACCTTTACCTTTACCTAGCTTCCCTCTTCAGATGGCTGCCACTGTGGCTCTGTCCAAGCATTCTGTGAGCAGATGGAGACCACACGTGCAGAGGGGGGCACACAAGCTATACCCCTTTCAACACAGAGAAGTGATGCTCTGAAGAGGAGAAAGGCTATTTTATTTGTATCAACTCTCCACCTGAGGTGAACCCTGATTCTTTTCCCGCTCATTCTGGCTCATGTGAAAAATGTACAGCGCCCTCCCATGTTCAGCCTGTTGCTGCCATAGATTTAAAGCAACATCAGAGAGGTGGGGGTTACAGTGCTTCCCCCTCCCCCTTGGTGTGCTCTCCATTCACATCATATATTCTTTCTAGACAATTCTAATGCTTATTATTTCAGTGATAGTTGCTAGAGTTCAGAACAATTTATGAATCACAACAAAATAGCATTCCAATCAACCCTGAAGTAGTATTTATTTATTTACTTCTTTACTCCTGAATCATAACAGGAACTAGATTTCACATAATGAAAGAAACAGCTCACCCTGCATTGCGTGTGTCACCAAACGGAACAATGATATGCCTTCCTGAGGACGCAAAATTCACCAGGTTAGTACAGTAATCCTATTTACTCTTCCATGCTGTTGAATGTAATTTTCAACAGGATATGAGGAGTGGTACAAATCGGACCATAAAAGAGGATATATAGTTTTCCTTATGTCTTCCCTGAACACAAGGAAAGCAGACATGAGGCAAATGCATTCTCTTTTGCAGTTTATATTCAAGAGTTTGGATTGGTTCTTGCTTTTTCCTCTTCTGTTCTGAGATTTTTAAAATTTTGTTGTTGTTTCATTGTGCCTCAAGTTACAAAACAAGACTAGTAGGATGTAATTTTTTTAAAAAAAGAGACCTAGATGTTGACAGGTTTTGATTTTGTAGTGAATTCAATTTACAAAAGAAACTCAAACATATCACTCTGGATATGAAGAGTGGACAAAGTTTCATTTGGATATATTTACAGTAAATGCAAATGAAAACTGAGGGTGCAAGTGCATTGGCCCTTTTGGTGGAGTCTGGTGTGGTCCAAATAGGTTCACATGAGGTTGAGGTTGGGGGAAGAAGGTGCAATATGCCATATGATGTGATTCTTGCATCCAAATAGTATATTGACCCTAAGAAATTCTCCATCTCCTCCCACCGTCAATTGAACACCTCCCCTGATCCTTTTTATTTTTGCCTGCATATACCATCAGTGACACACTGAATCACTTAGATTATTATTTTTTGAAACTCTTTGCCTTGTGTTTAGTGCTGATTAAGAAGCTGCCTGCAGCTCTGGTTTCGACTGGCACTTCACACAAAGGCAAAGAATTTTTTAAAAATGTAATCTAAGTGATTCAGCACAACAGTGATAGTCTAACAGAGAGGGGGAAGTCACTTCCTTTGCTTCTCTGCAAGGGAACAGGGGGAGTGTCCAATTTGCCAATATCCTGGAGAGGCTTGCTTGTTAAGCCACTTCAAGATACTGGAAATTTAAACTGGAAGGACCCTTAGCAGATTTGACAGTTAGAAGGGTAAATTTTAGTCAGTTCTGAGCAATTATATGTACTGAGAGTGGACTAAACTAGAGTGTACCAACCCACAACAAAAATGTAGAAGCCCCGACAGGACCTGAAAAGGATGCAGGTTGGGGTGGTCTGCGGGCAAATTGGTCTGCTGTACTGATTACTTCTTGTGGTTGCCAGAAAAAAAAAGTGACCAGTCTGCCCCCACAACGCAACAAATACTGGGATAAATGCTTGTCTGAACAAACCCTGACTTTCATTTGAAATGGGTGACGTCTTAGTGTTACATGTCACATATAGGAGAACGACTCTTTTTGATGCCTGAGCTTCTACGTATCCTTTGACTTTGCCTGACATATTGAAATTCTCTTTGCTGCTCTCATCTGTGTATACAGAATCTCACCTGTACTGGGTGAGCTCCTGCCTGCTCGTGGGTGGCATTACTGGGAAACCACTGTGAGTGGCTGTGAAGCTTACAGAGTTGGGATCTGCTGTTCCTCTGTGCAACAAGACTGCGTCCTGGGCCAGAACAATACTTCCTGGTGCTTTCATTGTTCTAGCAAGTTAAGGTAATAAAAAGCTATTTATTCAAAACAAAAATGGTTGCAAAATCCTATAATTTTCTCAATCTTTATTTTTCCTTTGTTTGTCCTTCTCCTCTTTGCTATTTTTTGTGGCTTATTTTCAACACACAAAGAACTGTTTTTCAGTTTTTAACATTAATTTTGAGGGCAGTGTTTCCCCAGCACTGCTGGAACTACCTACATTTTGTGTGCGGTTGATGCCACTGTGCATACAAAGCAAATATTTCTCTACATTAGTGTTCACACAGTATGAGTTTCCAAGATGAATTCACACATCTAAGAGAATTTTTATGTAGCTATATAAAAGCAATTGTCACAACACTTCTACATCTGTATATACCTGCAACAGCGTGATGCTACCCAAGCTCAACATTAGAGGGATTAATGGTAATAGTGATATCTTGGATTGCAGGTTTGACAGTATGAGAAATAGCAAGAAGCCCATGGAGAAATGAGTTAACATGGTTATGGAGCTCCTGGGCTCAGGAACCATACTAATCACAGGAGTTCTGAAGCTGCATTTGACTAACTGCAAATGCAGTGGAAATGAATCAGCTGAGTGTGTTTCCAGAAACCTACACAGACCTTCTTGCAGAATGTGTGAAATCTGCTGGGTATGTGGTGAAATCTGGAGTGGGGTAGCTGCCTTCCTGTCTGCCTTCCCGCAGTAGTCCTACACACAAATAAGCAGATAGTTGCATTGGCCTTAAGTGTACCTAGATGATTTGATTATGTCAGAAGTAGAGGAGGGAGTAAAGCATATGGGCACGAACCACCATTTGGCATGGTTTAGCCACACAGCTTCTTTTATGGGCTTCTTCCAGCTTCCCAGCCCTGCCTCCTCCAATTGGTGCCCACCCAGAGTGTACGATCAAACCTCTGTCCTTTGTGGGCTACCCATAATTTTTGTCCTCCAAATAGCAGCTGTGAAATGGAGTGAGAAGAACTGGGTCTGTGGCTTATAAAGAGGTGATCTAGAAACTACTAAGGCAGAAGAGAGGCCTGTGAATAGAAAATAGCCCAATAGAAAATAGCCAGCCTATCCTAGATATTCCTGAAATTGGGGCTCCAGATGTTCTTGGACTATGCTAAATAGAACTCCTGAGAGTTAGAATCCAAGAACATCTGGGGCTGCAATTACTGGTATGCACCATAAACTGCAGTAAATCCAGGAGGGAAGCTTCTATTGGCACCAGCGTACATTGGATGTATCCCTGAGAAAAAGGCCATGACTGTTTTATACATGTTTGTGTGGAGACTGAAAGCCACTCTGACTTTCCCAAGGAACCCAAATGAACCCGTGGCAAATGCTTCACTCTCCATGGATCACATGGGCCCGATTAGATTCCACAACAAGGGGACAGTGAAAATTTAGTGATTAGCATTTCTTGAACCTGAATGCAAACCAGAACATCTTTAATCTAAAAATGCATACTTTTTGAAATGTGTGATGTCATTTCTTCCCCCCCACATCCCAGTGTGCAAAAATGTGTACACTGGAATAACATACAAAAAATTTAAACTGTATACAAAATGGTGCGCCTCTGCGCAAAGCTTTATGCAACACAATAAAATGCTTGTAAAAAATCCATATTTTTCACAAAGGGTACACAAAAATATGCACTTTTGAAAAATGTGCTTAAGGACACATACACATTTTCACACATTCTAAAAGCAAAACGCAATCCAATGAGAAACTAGGAGAGAACAAACTTTGTAGTGGAAAAGTAAGAACCAGAATGAGACCGAGCTTGACAAATTTGCCTGTATCTACCCATGGCAAGATGCTGCTCCTGCTTTTCTGGCTGGTATAAATTTCATTTACTGAGATAGGAGCAGAAATGTGAGCTTATGGGATTTGTACCTGTGATGAATATTCTGACCACCAGGCCCAATTGTCCTTTCCTTGCTCAGATTTTACTGTATATATAATATAGCTCTACCATGCCTGCTTCGTTCGCGGCTATCCTGATGATTTAGTCCTGACTGGGTAAAGAGGCATTTTTGGGGTGAATCCAGAAACGCTGCATGATCAGTGGCAGGGAATAGTGCTCTGATGATATACTCTTTGTCCTTTATTTTGGCATACAAGGTTATAGTCTAGTGTTTTCTGCCTACATTTCCCTGTAATCTCATCAGGACTTTTAGTACAGCAGTAAGAATGATCAAGGACAGGTAGTAGTTAATGTTTGTAATGTTTCCAAAATGCCCATGTCATAAAATATATTCTAGTCTTCAAAACATATCACATGTATTATCTAATCATCCTTTGAGCAGCTCTGTAGGACAGCCATCGTTATTGGTCCCATATAGTTTTTTATATGCAAAAATGTATACATGGACTTTTAATCCAAAAAAGTAACTTTTCTAAGCTCTGGAAAACATACTACATAGAACGTACCACTTTATGTTAGCAGGAAAAGCTGTCCTCTTTTCTTATATAATTTGGGGATATGGAATTCAGAATGTTTCAGCTAAATTACATTAACCAGCCAGAGCAAAAATGGCTTCAAAAATGAATTATAGTAAACGCTATCCATTCTGTGAAGGATCCAGCTGTAAAAATAGATTGCCAGTGCTTTTAGCTGAGTACTATCAGCTCCCGTGGCATCTGATATTCACCTTGAGATGTGTAGTATCTGCTGGCCTTGAAGAAAAACTGCTAATAAAAAAATATCCTAGTACCTTTTTCATCAGTTTGGCACTAAAACGATGTCTCATTGTTGGTAGTGAGAGGTGACAAAACAGTAGAAAATGGCCCTTGGAAAGCACCGGCTCTTTCACAGTGACCATACACATACACTCAGTTGGCCAAGTGGCCATCAGAAGGCACTCAACCAAGGCACTTGCTTGCTTGCATTGTGATTTTTAGAGATTGTCTCCAAAAGTCAAGACAGAAAAGTATTGTCCTTTAAATGGGCATTGAAATGCACTGGCATAACCTGAATCTGGCTAAATTGTTTCTTCCCTCCTCAACTCCTCATTTCATCTCATCCTCATTAAGATCATAATAATACTTTAATCAAGATCAGACAGGTTATAAGCCTACATTGATGACGTGAATCCCGCTAAATTGAATGCAAGCTTTTCAACTCTCTTATGTTAATGAACCATATTTCCAGTTGGTTGGAGGAAGACATGGAGGTGGACAGCCATATTAGTGCATCTGCCCTCTGAATGACTGTATTGGGAATACACTGGAACTAATGGAGGCCTGAAAAATATCCCCCAACCTATTCCCATTTCACAGGCCCATTTGCAGACTGTGAATATGGGGGACATAGTCAACAAATGTCTCAGAGGAACATGACTGTGTATGGAATTTTGTCTCTTTAAGATTTCCGTTTGCTAACACCTTGCAAATAGAACATAGTAAAAAAAAATTATCTATGGTAGGCTATGTAATGGATTTTTGTTTATTTCCCACTCTTTATCTTTTGCAGTTTTGTATATAAAGTCCTCCACAATGGTGAGGTGAGTGATGTCATCGTGACAGAACATCCCGCGCGTATCGGCATTCTGCTGGACTATAACACTGGAAGACTCTTATTTTTTAATGCAGAACGAGGGCAAGTGCTGTCAACCCTCAGGCACAAATTCACCGATGCTGTTCACCCAGCCTTCATGTTGAAGCAACCAGGAGTACTTAACCTGCATACAGGCATGGAGCTACCGGAGTTTGTGAAGCAAAGTTGATGTTTCTGTGCAAACACCTTGCAAGACCAAAAGAAGGAGAAGCTGATGACAATGCTTAAGATGCTCTTCTTTTAACTTTCTAACCATGTTCGTATTCAGTGGCCATGATCTAGATAAATGCTTTGAGACCTCAAAGGCCTCTGTCAGACTTTCATTTACTTCCCTAATCTAACCTTCCCACCCTCCATGTTACCAACACATACCAGTGCTGTATCATAAAGAATTTCTTGCACTTGAGGAAACATTTTACAACATCCAGGAAGCTTTCCGCTGGTGCAACATTGAAAAGCTCACAGGCAGATGTAACCAGTCCATGTAAAGCACCTCCAAGGATAGTGGATGGCGGGCAGATATTTTCCCCTAGTTATTTTTGTTCACTAGAGCCATGTGCATATGGTACACACACAAAAACCCACAAACAAGTTAAGAACATAAGAAAAGCCATGACAGATCAGCCCGAAGGCCTGCCTCCATCAGTACTCTGTTCAAACAAGCCGCTTATGGGATGGCTCATGAGTTGGACCAGAGCCTAGAAGTAACCAGTTAGAAGTAACAACTCAGCTATAATGAATTCCCTTTTCCATTGTCAAAGGTATAACTACAGTACTTTATCGCTGTAATTAAAAGAGGTATAACTTCCTACTTTTTGTGGTGCAACTTCAACTGTTTTGTTATTTTTATACTTACAGGAATGTAGCATCACAAAATGATGGAAGCAGATTGTCACAAAGATTAAGTCTTGGTTTATGCTGGATCTTGTGCTGTTGCCCAAAGGTCTGTTGTGAATTTTGAGACATTTGTGAGGTGAATGGGAGGAGACCTGTTTTGTACCACAAGCAAGGTGGGTTTTTGTTCTTTTAAGAATCTTTTCTTTTGAGAAACAAAAAGCAAACCATTAGTTTCTAGAAACAACAGCCTTAAAAAAAACATATGTCTTTCGAACTATAATAACTAATTACTTTAAAAGAGTAACTTTCCAAAGCTGTAACAGAACATAACTGAACCAGCAGTCTGTGCTTGTGCTTCCTAGCAATTGATCCACAGGAAGGAACTACCTATTTATAGTGATTAGTAGCCAGTGATACCCTCATCCTCTACAAGAGTACTTGCCATTTACTATTTTGCATGCACTTGGTAATGTTTATCTAAGTACTTACTGTGAGGGAAGATTTATCTTAATATGGGTGGGAGTGAAGGAACACTCACTAGGTAGAAGGCACCAGAGACGTCTCCTGCACAAGTTGCTTTGAAAAGAATGGATGCCATTCCCACCAGGGCAGTCAGGTATTCTTGCAGGGGTGGCCTCAAACATTTTGCTAGCTGCTTTAGAAAAGGCAGACAGGACGCTCCCTCCCCGCAGGAGGTGATCGGAAAGGCAACTGGATTTTGCTTCAACATTTGCAAGAGGATACAGTCCTCCACAACACTAGAGGGCAGGAAATGGCTGGCCTAAGAGGTTGCTTCATGCTGGGGCAGCCCCTATTGTTGCACAATTCCCATGCATTTTAATAGGTCTCACCATGGAGAAGCCCATGGAATGAGTCCCTCCATAGGCTCCGGGCCAGCTCTTCTGACCCACACAAACCTACCTCGTATTGTGGTGGTTGGTGCAGTGCTAAATGAAAGGGTTGGTTGGTGAATTGTAGGAGAAGTAACAGCATCCATCCTGGGCTATCTTTTCTGTTTGGCCTACCAACACTGGCCATCTTGATCTCACTTACACTCATTATTCTTGGCCTGCATGCAGAGTCCAGAACCTCAGGTGTAGCACAGGTTAGCATAGGTGTGGAATCCACTAAGGGGATGTTTATGTTTTAAAAATGCTTCTTTACATGCATTGCCCTAACTGGATCAGGGCAATTGTTCATATGAAAATAATTCTAATTCTATTTTAATGGTTTTACGTGGGATTAAAAAATAATAGCCAGATTTTATTTTCAGTGTTCCAGCAGAGAGGAGTAATAATCAAATTAAAGGCAGCACTTTTTAAACAAGTGGGAAATGTTTCTTTATGATCAACATTTTCTGAAGTCCCTTTTGTGGGTGCCGAAGTGCCCACAAAGCAAACAAAAACGTATCTTGGGTTTTGCTAAGCTGTTAATTCTCAGGGTGTGTCTAGTGCTCAGTTCAAATTCCATGAGGAGATGTGCTTCAGTTGCACAGAGTGATCGGCCAACCTTTTGCTCCTGTTCAGCATCTCTATTTGAGGCTCTTTTTTTGCCAAAATGCTGGTGAATTCTTCATAATGGGGGACTGCTGTTGCTAATTTTCCAAGGGTCATCATGCATCTAGTTCTTCTTTTTATTTACCATTTTTTCCTTGTAAAAGAAAAACCAAAGACAGTAAGTGGTGGGAAAACACAGGATGGCTGCAGACTGGAAATGATGCTGTCCGAATCCTTTCTTGTTACCCGTGTTGTTCTAGTGTTCTGAGCCAAATCTGTAAGGGCATACCTGTATTGAATTACAGGAACAATGCAGTGGGTCCCCAGAAGTTCTTGGATTTCAACTCCCAAAAATCCTGACCAGCACAGCTTGTGGTGAAGGCTTCTGGGAGTTTTAGTCCAAGAACATCTGGGGAGCCAAAGTTGGGAGCCACTGGAATAGTGTAATTTAACAGATTGGGCTGAGCAAGTCACATTCCCAGGGAACTATTCAACAGGTGGATTTTATAGCACCAAAAGAATTGAAATCTGTGCAATGACTACATTGCAAGGTGGCAAATTATACAAGAAAGCAGCATAAACAGCAAACAAATGTATTTGCATCAAAACTATTATTGGGAAATGTCAAATTAAAGGAAACAAAATTCACAAGGCATGGAGAGCTGCTGCCTAGAGAGGAATTGCAGCAGGGAGAGGCAGAGGTCCAAAAGTGGGAGCAATAAAGATCTTTTCTTAGCTATACTCTCACACCTCAGCTAAATAGATGGAGGAGCCACTAAGGCGTGGAGAAAGTACTGTGCTCCTGATATTCAGGGGTGAGAAAAAGTACCTTTCCTTAGTATTGTTAGACTGTCTTGGAGCTAGGAAGCATTATAATCCCAGATGGGCAATGCAGAAAAGGGAAATCTTGGATTGAGATCCCAAGAAGGAGAAGGTTAAGACCTTAGGCCAAAACCTGAAATTTAGGAATGTTAGACTGTCTTGGAGCTAGGAAGCATTGTAATTCCAGATGGGGCAATGCAGAAAAGGGAAATCTTGGACTGAGATCCCAAGAAGGAAAAGGTTAAGACCTTAGGCTAGAACCTGAAATTTAGGAGAAATAAACTAACAGGATTCTCTGGCTAAATCCTAGATGCTTTGAACTCAAAAAATGATTCTGTTTACACCTGATCTCTGGGAGACCTCAAGTTTTCATTGGAAGTCAGCTGAAAGGAAAGTTGTTGATGCTTATAACAAGACTTCTGCGTACATAAGACAGCTGAAACAGTGTGCAGGCCCACACCAGGTAAAGGTAAAGGTTCCCCTTGACATTTAGTCCAGGTGTTTCTGACTCTAGGGGGTGGTGCTCATCTCCATTTCCAACCCATAGAGCTAGTGTTTGTCCATAGACAATTTTCCGTGGTCACGTGGCCAACGCAACTAGACATGGAACGCCGTTACCTTCCCGCTGTGGTGGTACCTATTTATCTACTCGCATTTTGCATGCTTTTGAACCGCTAGGTTGGCGGGAGCTGCGACAAGCGACGGGGCTCGCTCCGACACATGGATTCGATCTTATGACTACAGGTCTTCACCAGAATAAAAACTATAGCTGTCTCATGCCTTTTAAATGGGGTCCATGGGGTAATTTGCTAAAGTGTCTGCGCCCCCTTGCAAGTCATTTTATCCCCACCTCCTTGGATGGTTTTGACCTGACCATAGTCTTGCACAGCTGATTAAGCCTTTTTGATGGTCAAAGTAGCAGGAGACAATAGAATAGCCAAGTGGGTCTACCTCTGGGAGGTATCAGGAGATACGTTGCTTCTGTTCACCTTGGGCTGGTAAAGGCAATATGGAGGTGATGTTTCAGTACAATTTCCTCCATAACCAGCTCTTTCCCTTGGAGATATTAATGTCTAATGTCTCAGCAATTACATGGTCTACATTTTGGCGGACTCCACTGAATGGGATTGTTTCAAGTTACATTTTTCTGTAATTTTTTGTCTAACAGTCTCATTTGCTAATATAATCAAAATATAAGCTCTTATCCTGTTGGGATGAAGACACTACAAACAATTCCTCCTTCCCTGATGCAACCTTTGTGTGAATGGAAATTCCATTGTTGTCTGTCGAGTGATTTCCAGTGTATCTTACTGCAGCCTGGAGATCAGTGAAGATATTCAGAGTGCTCTGCCCATGGAGACCTCACAGTATACATTTCAACAGGATAGTAGCCCTAATCTTTAAAAATAACATCGTAGAAAGTAACATTAGTGAGAGTTTTGCTTGTTAAAATATTAGGGGTTTTGCTCTCTATAGGAGGAAGATACTAATCCAGATTGCCTCTAATGATAAAGGTTGCATATATTAAATGCCATCAAGTTACATCCGACCAATAGCAACCTTACTATGGTTTTCAACGTACGTGGGATATTTAAGGAGTAGTTTTGCCATTACAGCCCTAACCTTTAGGGGAGTTTCCATGGCCATACAGGGATTAGAACCCAGGTCCGAGTCCTAATCCATCACTCAATTCACTATACCATACTGGCCCTTCTTAAACAAAATACTTTGTTTTAAAAACTTGGCTTATAACAGGTAATCCAATCTCTGTCCTATAGCTTTGATAATACCGTTTCCCAGAAAATAAGCCCTACCCCCAAAATAAGCCCCAGTTAAGTGAAAGCCCGCCCTTCACCATTGTGCAGCAACCAGAAGAAGATGACACAACTGTATTTGAATACACATAGATTGTTATACATGAAAAAATTAAAAGATCCCCTGAAAATAAGCCCTAATGTATTTTTGGAGCAAAAATTAATATAAGACCCCGGCTTATTTTGGGGGAAACATGGTACTTATAGCCTTGACTATACCTAGAAAACTTATGGTGTGACTATATTGGAGAGCCAAATCAGAATGATTTAGCTTGGTAATACAGTGGTGCTCCGCTTGATGACGATAATCCGTTCCAGGAAAATCTCTGTTAAGC